CTAATATTTTTTCAATTAAGCTCACGGCCTGACAATTGTATTATTGAGTATTATATAATTAGTATTGAAATAATGTTATTGCAAACTTATTTTTACTGAGGATAACTTTACCTGAAGCATTTTCCACAATAATCACACACGAAGTTTTCACTGTTACACAATATATTCTTGGGTAGTGTATTTTTTGCATGTTTGTCTTCATTCTTAAAGTGTTTAAGCATTCGATGACGTTTCATGGAGTTCGACCAACGAAAACTCAACGAGCATACTTCGCATTTATAAGGCCGAATTCCACTATGCTGAATACGGATGTGCATAGTAAGATTATTGCTTTGTGTAAACTTCTTCTGGCATATATTGCACTGATATAACTTGCGAGTCTCCACTGGCAAATGCCTCAAAATGTGATCACGTAAATCGTTTTCGAAACTGTTGACATAACAAAAATCACGTAGTCTTATCCATATAATAGTTCTGACAATAATAAATATCAATTAATATATATCGTTATTGCGTCAATATTATAATTTTTTACACAAGGATATAAATGTATCATATGTTATATATACGTAAGGCTGTAAGCATAATAGAGAAATTATTAGGAATAAATTTAAGAATTTCAAACCGCCAGAAATTGTGTAGTCCACATGGTTTTTGATGGATTGAAATTCTTATATTTACATAGTTCTGTTCCTAATATTTTTTCAATTGGGCTCATGGCCTGTATTAATTGTATTTTTGAGTATTATATTGTTATAATGTTAATGCTAATTTATTTTTACAAAAGATAATTTTACCCGAAGCAGTTTCCGCACTGATCACACACATACTTCTTCTTTTTATATTTACGTTGTACATGATTCTTTCTCGCGTTGTACGAAAAATTATTCAATAGCATTAAACAAAAAAGATAAAAATAAAAAATATATATATTGTTACGATGTTATTACGATATTATGTTAAAGTTACTGTTAATTTATACTGAAGCATTTTTACCTGAAACATTTTCCACAGATCGGAAGAGCACAC